TAAAATAGATATTTATCTACAAAACACACAATTTAAATTTTAAAAATATTATATCTGTATGTAGCTAAAAATATTATAAACGATTAGTCCGTAATGCTTCTAAAAATAAAAAATTCTGTACGATAAAAATACATCAATTTTTTAAATTACAGGAAAAAAGAAAATATTTACATGTAAATTATTACTTATGAATTTGTCTATTTTCATGCAGGATGGTTCAAAAGTGTGTTAACTATTTTGTATCATACATTCCGAATACACAAAATATGAATTGTAAACAGTAAAAAAAATTTGAAGTTGTAAAGTAAAAAAATTTGATAGTTTAATCAATGAAATGGTTAACTGACTTTTAAGCCACCATGAATGTTAGCCTGTTTTGAATTACACATACACACAAACAGATCAACACTACTGTGTATATACTATCTACTTGGACCTTGTTTATTAATAATACTTGTAAAAAAAATTAATATTGAATTTTAAATAATCTACAGCCAAAATTCTGGCTAAGTGAAAGATTCAAATAGCAGGGTAAACATTAGAAAAAATGGAAGCAGGTAAAAATAAAAAGATATTTTGCTTTGACTTAGATCTCCTCTCTTTGATAATCAGAAACTACACCAGTATAATAAGTCTTATTAATAAACAAGGTCCAAGTGGATAGTATATACTGTATTTACTTGCATATAAAATGATCTCGCATATAGGATGAGGTGTGACTTTAAAGATTAAAATAAAGAAAATTAGATTTATTAATACAATTCTGATTTTATTTTGTTTAAATCACAAATAAAATATTATCAAATGCACATATTACGGCAAACAAACAACCATGTTTTCTTGACGTTATCTTTTGTTTACTCGGACTCTTCGAAGTACCATTACAACTCTCCTCTTTTTCACTCTCACTCCACAAAGCATCATCCTCTGATCCCTCGAGTGAATTTGAAATGCAGTATTTCCTGAATGACTTTGCTAACAGCTCTTGAGGATTGCTTTTCCACACACCTGATACCCACATAGTAAAACCGAAAGATTACAATGCACATGACTAGGAAAAGTTTATTTTTTATGATTCGGAAAGTGCAAATATTCATTAAAAATACCAATTTAACAAATATGAAATAACTACATTTATAATCATTGCTAAGTGACCATCTCTTTGAAAGCAACATTCATCTGACCTCGATAGCACCCTGCTATAATGGCAGCATGAACTATACATGGTTCACAAAAATTATTGTAAAAACGCAAAAAATCCTTCGCTTGCACATATAGGACAACCTAGGTTTTTGAAGCAGTGAAAAATGAATAAAAGCCTTGTCTTATATGCAAGTAAATATGGTACATAGAAATGTAAAACAGTAAGGACATAGTAGTGTTAATCTTCTTACCTCTTTTAGAAACAGAACTTATAAACCTGACTGTTACACTCATATTCATCAAGACTTGTTCCTTACACATAATTAATAATAAACAATTTTCTACCTTTTCCTCATTGACTTCAGATGGTTCTAGTATATAACATCTTGATCTTACCTCTCTCTAAATATTACACAACTAGAGGGTTGTGAATTGCTTGCATTCATATCCAAAATACAGTATATTATAAATCTTATAGGCTTATTTGTTATATTTGAATCAGAATAATTTAATGAAGAAAACATCTGAAATGTATTGTAATTCATACAAAAAAACCCAACATAATTTACAAAAGCACAGGTAATTGCTGCTTTTGGGAACCAAAAATATATTTTACTTAATTACTCGATGGGGCAGCAGCCTTAAAAATGAAGCATTGTAAGACCGAGTGCCTCAAAACAAATACAATTGTTTGTTTCTGAATTTGTTTACTGTTTTTTAGTGTGCAAGATAAGGAGTGGAAATAATGAATCCTGAATTTATAATGTCGCATAACGATTAATAGTAATTAACCATTCTAATTATCATTCTTGATCTGCGGCTAATAACAGATAACCATTTGAATCCGAGTGACGAGTCATATGAGATCGGCGGATAGGATACAGAATGATGCAATGCAGCAAGGGGTTGTTAAATTCTATTTATGTAAGCAGCATCTATCCTATAATATCCTCCGAGTCTCATTAATTTTGCTGTACAAAAAACATTTTTTTTCATAAAAATTGGATAATCAAACAGTCTAAGAGCTTCTGTCTTGATAAGAAAAAGTTAGTTGTATTTAAGTCATTTCATAAACAGTGTTTTTGAGCCTTTCTAGCTCATTTTTAATACAGAATTTACTTCAAGAACATTAATTATTATAATCATGAAAAATATCTATAATATAGTGATAGACAGCACGCTAATCATTTGTTACAAAAAACTTTTACCTTTTAGTGACATATGTATATAATCATGAAGGCGAGGAAAGTGGTCTCTTGTTGGTTAGTAAAGTTCCAGATTTTAAATGAGTCTGTACTTGAATAGAAGCCAGAAATAACACTAAAAAAATTTGATTTTGTGTCTAAAGTAACACTAGTAAAAGTATAATTTCTTATTAGATTGACTCTCTGTTAATATACATGTATTCAACATTTATATATGACTTTGTTTAACCAATACTTATTTAGGCCAAGAGGATTAGGAGAATTGTCGCATACAAATTATGAAGTTTAAATAAAATCATAACCATACCAATATAACATTTACAGCTTGATTTTGAGTGGTTAAGGTGTTGGTGCACAACTCCGGGGACCCAGAATCAAATTCCGACGAGTCGGATGAAATACCGCAGAAATTATTTTGGATGATTGATCCGGATGTGTCGGGTTTGTTCCTCTCCGCCTAGTCATCCCATTGTGTCCCTAACTGAACCCACAATAGACACGGGATCTTGAGTAATGACTGCACGACATCATTACACAAAAATAAAGAATTGTAATCATAAATATAAACATTTTTGTTAATCAACAGAAATAAACATTGTTTAAAAATTTATTAAATTACAAAATGTACAAATAAAAAAAAATATATTTATAGAAAAACCTCTTCTTTTAATGAAATTTTATTAAAAGTGTTTTTAAAAATAATTAAAATGACTAAAAATAGATTCTGATAAAAAGTTTTATATAGTCTTATTATAATTTATTTTTAATTTTAATTGTAAATTAGATCATTTGTACTTAATTTACTAAAATTATATTTAGTAAGAACAGAATATTTTTAAAAAAGTGCATGAATTATTCTTATTTCACCATCAAACAAATGGAATAAATTAGATGCTTTTCACATAATTAAGAGGTTTTTTAAAATAATAATTTTTTTATGAAATAAAAGTAAAGATCTGTCTAAATCTGAATATACAAGGTAAGTATAGACTGTAAACTTGCTAATTTAAAAATTCTAGAGGTAAAAACATTCATCTTTACTTCAAGAACCATTTAATAAAGTAATCATCATCATTAAATCATTTAAAACATTATGATGCATCAATTAAACAAACTAATGACTCCATACACTAATTACAACAAAAAACAGACTCCGGGTAGGAACAGAAGCTTGCATCATCATCAAGAGAATATTTACAAGCCATTCTGTCTCATCGTCACTTAGTTTAAGAATCTATTCATCATCATTTCATTCTAAAACCAGCTGATGATGAACCAGAATGGTTTGAAAACCTACCCGACAATAGCTTTCTACACATCTATTTCTTATTATTGGTAGATCTCAGACTTCATTACCTGAAGTTCAAATGTATAATTTATTACAGATTTAGGCTGCAAAACAGGTATAACTGCAAGATCTTGTACAATACAACTTAAAAGTAAGACTACACTTAAATGCAAGCTTTACAAACGATTTAGAATTGTAGAAATTGAATATTTTCATTACATAAATTCATTTCTTCATTGTAGTTTTAGACAAGAATAATACATTCTCAATTAATTAACTCTAATATAATTAAATTAGTTCTCAGATAAACATGATTAAAATAGCTTTATAATAATATTTGCTTTTGTAAGTAATTCTAGTAAACTTTCACATGTATGCAAATGATGTTTCTTTATATTCAAGCAGCCTATTCTAAAAATAGCACATATCAAGCGCATCACCGGATGATCTCTGCAGCCGCACTAAAACCCAAACATCGTCATTGCTACTTTACTTATACTTAAAAAGGACAAATTGCAACAAATTAGCAACATAAACAAAATTTGGTAAATTTAGTTTTATTTAAGCAAATTTTGATCACTCAACACCCTTAAAGTAGACTTCACTGCAAAGTTGTAGATTGCATCATTCACATATAAAGAATTATGCATTTTTTGTTATGTAAAATGCTTTAAAATGTTAAAATATGTTTGATTTGATGACAAGGAAAGCTATCAGGTACAAAATATTTGATAATTTGCTCTGACAACATTTTAAAAGGGAGTTAATGGTGTTTGTTGGTTAAATGAAATGTTAAACAGGTCATTTAAACTTAATTTATGTCAAATTATTGAAAAAATAAGGGTTTTCTTATTCTAAAAATAGCATGCATCAAGCGCATCATCAAATGATCTCTGCAGCCACACTAAAACCCAAACCAAACACCATCATTATTACTATTTCACTTACACCTTAAAAAAGGCAAAAATGCAAGAAATTAGCATGATAAACAAGCCAAAATTTGGTAAATTGACTTCAATTTAAGCAAAAAACTCATCACCTTTAACCTTAAAGTACTCTTCATTGCATCTCACTCATTACCCTTAAAAGTACACTTCACTGCAACACACTCCAAAGTTGTAGGTGGTCATCATTGACATATAAAGAAGAATTATGTAGTTTTTATTATATAAAATGCCTTAAAAGGTTAAAATATGTTCACTTTGATGCTGAAGAAGGCTGCCAAATGCAAAATATTTGGTAATTTCCTCTGACAACACTTTTAAAAGGGAGTTAATGGTGTTTGTCAGTTAAATGGGTCATTTAAAAGCTTGATTTACGTCGAATTATTAATAAAATAAGGGGAGAAAGTCGCTATCACTTACCTTTTGCTCCTCATCATTATAGACTGAGATGTCTACATTAGTTATAATTAAAGAAGTGGGAATGTCTTCCAATTCCGTTCCATTTTCCTCGAAATCTGTTGTTATGTTTTCGAAATCCATAGTTTTTGGTAATATGTCGAATAGTTTCATTCTCTTCTCTTGAAAATACTTAATATTGTTTCTATTCTCAACTAAATACCTAAACGTTTTCTGTCTCCGGCATCATACGGCCACCATTTTAAAAGGTGCACAAGATGCCCCCTGCCGGAAAATTATTTTAAATGATCAATTTCATAAAAAAAAACCCTAACCCGAAAGTAAATAACGAATTCGAGTTTTAATGGTCGAATATAAATATAGTAAATTTTTAAATAAATAATTATTAATACGTGATTATATTATGAGCCGTTTTAAAAGAATAAATGCTAACAATATTGTCGATTTTTTAGTGCCCTCTGGAAGTCGTTAGGTGAAACATATATAAATATATAATGGCGATTTTATAGTTTTCTTGTTCTTAATTGAAATTATTAAATTTCTGATGCTAATATTTATTAACTAAAAGTTTAATATTAATTAATTTTTAAATTTCGATATTCTTGTTTGTTTAAATTACTTCATCAATTACATCGCAATTTCACTTAATTATAATAAAAATTAACTACTGTATATATANAACCATAGAAATGATTTTATAACTAGCTGGATATTAGAATTATAAGTTATCTTAGTCCCTACATTATACATACATATATATATATATATATTTTTTTTTTTCGTTGATCTTTATTTATTTTAGAAAATTATTTAGGTGATAAACTAAAATGGCGGTATATAAGTTGTTCCGAAAATGACCACAGAATGGCGCTCAACATTACTGCGATTGTATTTGTTTATTTATTTTTGACTATGTGGATCCTCAGAGGGGTTGAATTGGATTGGTATCAAACAACGCAACACATGAATGATTTTCCAAGGAGAAGATGCCTCCCGAGAGAATTTTTTTGGGAAAATTTCTTTTATTTAGGTGTAGAAAACCCGGAAAAATCCACATGGCTAGTTAGGCGCAAACCCGCGACCAGTTTTCAGTAGTTTTATCCACTCGGGAATTGGAAGATTTGTGTTGAGACGACACAGCAACTACTAATTTCAATAGTAATTTCTTGCATTGACAATTGCTAGAAATTTGAATGAAATTCAATCGTAAAGCCATTTAGATTCACGAAATTGTATGTCGAGCCTAAAGGCGATAGTTGTGAAATTAGGACACTGCAACCCTTAATGAGTTGTCACTGTATATAGAATTATCCAGGATATGCAGAGTAGATTTTCGCGGCGAAAAGTTTGGTGGTAAAACTTATCATTGCGGACTGTAGAGCGGCGAGCGGCAAAAATACGTATCATGTGCATAATTCACATGTGCTACGGGTGAATGTTAAGTAAAATATTGTTCATAGCTTATGGAATGCCATTCGAATTACTTCTCCCTTATGCAATTACCATAAACAACGGCGAGAATTAATTAAATGTCTTTATCGTTTCGAGTTTTGTATTGTTTCTCACAATTATTGTGTTTTCTTGCCGCTAGCAGCGCGAAAGTCCGCAGTGGTCAATTTTAGAAATTTTCCGCTCTTACTGAAGCGTCAATGGTATAACAGCCGTATCATACTAAATGAGGCTTAAGGATAGAATACAATAGTATCTACGCAGTGATACAATAAAACGTAACACTGTCTCCTAAATTTAAATTAAAAATTTATTTATTTCTACATATTAAATTTCTCACGAGATGGCGGCCTGATCGCCTATCGCAAGCCAAATTGCTTCGTATCTAATTATAAAAATTAGCTTTATTATAGCCCGCTAAATAAAACGAGAATTAAATCAGTATTTATAAACAATCCTTTAAAAATGAGTAAAATTTCACTTTTAAAAAAGAATTTTAAATGTTTACAGGTGACTGCATAGCAAAACTTACGCCTCAAAGCGACTGCAGTGCTCGAAGTGGCAGAAATATTTATCACTCCACTTTCGCATCGTTACAATTATTGGTAGCTGAGAGATCGGTGTGTATCTATGTTAAATATACATATTATTTAAATATTTTTGCATTAAAACATGTACTAAATACAGTAGAGCGTCGTTTATCCGAATCAATTGGGAACTGGAGTTATTCGGATAACTTATTCTTCGGATAACCGATTATGTACGAAAAAATACATTAACCTATCCAATGTTGAAATTTTTCTCCATTACGTGTCGCTTCGCGTTGAATTTTCGTCGATGTTAAGCCTAATGTAAACTTTTTAAAATAATAATCGTGGCTATTGTATCGTTAAAAATTATTTCTTTATTTTTTACAAACAAAATAAATACAGTATATTGAAAAATATAAAAACAAAAAAAAAAATATACTTTAGAAGTTAATCTAGTATCAAAAACGTTCGATTTAGCATGANAAAAAAAAAAAACCCAACAAACAATATCACATCTCAACATAAACGTTGTAATAATCATAAAGAAGTGTTTCTGCAGTGTTATAACACTAAATAATGTACTAGATAATTGTATTAGTCGAAGAAGAAATGCAGTAAAACGTTTTTTTCCTTTCGGACATCCTCCTTTAGTATCAATTTCTAGCGATTATCTAGAGAATAAAGATTTAACACTCTGGCAAAGAGCCACGTTAGACTACAGTAAAATTAAGTAATACATGGATCCATCAGAAAGCTTTTAAACAGAGAAGGAAGAAAACTAAACGCATCAACTTTACATTCTTGGTTACATAAATCAAGATTAAATGTAAACAATAAAAAAAAAACAATAGATTTAAATCAATTTTTCTCTGATAATAAACGTCCATAAAGAGCATTTTTTTTCAAATCTTGTTTATGACACTTTAAAAGTTTCGAAGATCTTCAGTAATTTGTTGTTTATATAAATGATTTAAGAGGCTTAGAGGAGTTGTTTTATCAAGATAGTCTAGTTCTTTATATCTTTAAATAATTTACTATACGCTCTCACCTCTGATAGAATTTAGAACACTCGATTTGTCTTCAGAAGGAGTTACTTTTAACCACATCTGAAAATAAGCTTAACGTTTACACTCCTATTCTTCTCAACTTTAAAGATGAAAGAGAAGAGATAAGTCTAAATATCTGTAAAGAAGCTCAAGATTATTAAGACGTTGGGGGCAATTTTTTGGCTGAATTTCTTGAAATTTTATCACTTTTTATTTAAATTATGATACGGGCCAACGTAGATAAAGCATTGTAATGTCTAAAAATAGATATTTTTATACAAATATAGCATCTAATCGACTAATTATGCGCCATATTCCTAGTTGAAGAGAAACAACTATCGGTGGCTTAACATGTTTCAAATCGTTATTTTAATTAATATTTAATTGTTTTATATAAATGTATTATATTTTTGAAGAAAGAAAATGATTTTTTATGTAAAAATAATTAAATTTAATTCATTTAACCTGTAAATTTTCTTTAATAATGTATATTCTTATCCTCCCCGATAATGAAGGTGCTCTGCATTGATCTCGTTGTAAACCCTTCAAATATAAAGCATAATATGTTCTAGAAAGGTATAATTAACTAAAATACTACCTTCTATTAAAAGTATCGCCATATAAACTCTAGTTTTCTGTCCATAGAAATGAATTATAAGTCTTGGTGTCCACGAATATACAAGATGGCGGCCGCCATTTTGTACCATTGAGTTATATGAAACTAATCTTTTACATTGTTTATCGTGTTTAAACACTTAAATAAATGTATTTAATTAGAATTTATTAAAATTTACTTGGATTTATGGAAATGCATCAAAACTTAAGACCCAGAACGACGCCATTTTTTTGTCCACTAAACAATATGTAATTTTAAATAATATCTAAATTTAGTTTTAAAATGTAGAAATAATTTAAAATTTAATTAATTTTTAAAGTGTGCGAATTTTATTAAAGATGGTTAAAGGCACCATTTTGAAACAGAATTTTTCAAAATGGCGCTTGGACAGTTTTATCTATAGTTGTAAGTTTCATTTTTAAAAGTTTTTGATTGGTTTATTAAAAATTTGAATAGTCGAATGAAAAAAATTCTAAAATTCCCAAGACTAATTAAAAAATTTTTATTTGAATTTTCAACTGTAAATGCAGTTTCTTCTTTATTTCTTCTGTTCATCTTAAAATCCTTGTTGCTCAGCATCAAAATTGATGCTGAGCAACAAGAGCAACATTACTTAATGCAACAATCTTGAGATGATGCTGAGAGCAACAAGAGCAACAATCTTGATGCTGAGCAACATTACTCAGCATCAAGATTGATGCTGAGTAATGTTAAGATAATTCAAATACTCTCATTTATTTTATTTATTTTTATATCATTTTAAAGAGAAATTTTCTACATTTTCCCACTTTTTAACTACAGATTCAGCTCATCCATTAGAAGATAACTGTATTACTCCTTAGTGCATCGTAAGATGGAGAAGGGATGATAAACAAGATACACTTCAATAAACGTGAATCACTTTAGAAAAATACCCAAAATATATAAAAATAATCTCAAATCTTAAGAATAACATTAAGATTTAATAGAAAATTATGGAAGAAGATTAATTTTAACTCCATTAATAAGTGAGATTAGCATCAACATTCTCCATCTTCTCCTTAATCTCAATATCCAGATATTAACTGTTATGCTAAAATTCTCAACTTAATTGCCCTGTAATTAATTTTGTATCATATTTTCATGTAAGGTAACATAAAAATATTGTAAAAAAACGATAGAAAACGTTTTAATGATTAAATTCGAACGTTTGAGCATTAGAAAACGTTGTTTTCAATGATCTCTCTTTTTATTTTATATATTTTCTACGTTATTAAATATGGAAAACGTTGAAAGTAAGAGGAGAAACGTACAGATTTATAAGCGTAAATCATAATTTATATTTATTGATGACAGAAATATTAACAAAAAAAAAAAAAACCCAACAAACAATATCACATCTCAACATAAACGTTGTAATAATCATAAAGAAGTGTTTCTGCAGTGTTATAACACTAAATAATGTACTAGATAATTGTATTAGTCGAAGAAGAAATGCAGTAAAACGTTTTTTTCCTTTCGGACATCCTCCTTTAGTATCAATTTCTAGCGATTATCTAGAGAATAAAGATTTAACACTCTGGCAAAGAGCCACGTTAGACTACAGTAAAATTAAGTAATACATGGATCCATCAGAAAGCTTTTA